TTAGAAAATTTTCTATAAAAAGTTTATAATGTTGTTCTCTTTTAAAGTTGTCATATTTTCGGAAAATTTATTGAATTCTCGTTTAGGGGGGTTCTATTGTATTAATTAAAATATATTTAATTATTTTTTAAATACAAAAAAAAATTATTTCAAAACGTGTCAACTCAAGAACAATATTTTTGTAACATCAAAACAGAGAGTTACCTTTGGGGTGTCAAACTATTTAGAAAAAATTATATGTAAAACAAGGGAAAAACTCTATAAATATTCTGGTTCATTTATGTTTTTTTTTTCTCTTTCAGAATTATTATTTTAAGGAAAATCAAAATAATTGCATTCTCACTGACCCTTTTCAGTTTTATGCCTTGTGACGCAGTATATTTCTACTATTATTTTTTCTATTCTAGCACAAAAGCAGTAAATAATAATAAAAATAGAAAATGTATTTTTTTTCAGTTAGGTTTGTTGAAATAATTATTCAGAGTATCTCAGTGAGTTGATAAAGTCCATTATTGACTTTTTATTGTTGAAATTTTTAAAAATTATATAAAAAATTGATAAATACTAAAATAGGGCATCCCATGAAATTATTTTCAATTATACAGCGTGTTCCAAAAAATTTTTTTTTAATGAAACATTTAATTATTAGAAGCTTTTGTGTTTTAAATTAAAATTTGATTTTGCTACAGTAGAACTCCGTTATATAAGATGGCTTGCAAAAAAAATTTTTTCTATAAAATGTTTTTTTTTTAAATTTCAAGTTGTTGAATTATTGGAAAACTCATTGAATGGAATGGATTTTTCAGCCCAACTAACATAAGTTTCTCATTGTTTCGACAGCATTAACCTTAATTTTTATATAAATTATTAACGAGTTATGTTCGGATTTTATGTGAGATTTTGTAGTCTTTTTGTGTTTAAGTGACTTAATTATTATCATAACACGCGGATGGAACATTATGCTTGCTAATGACATGACAATTAGCGTTTAGCATTATCGTTTTAACGCGAGCACAAGAGAAATTCCGACATTAACAGTTAATTCAATAAATGAAGAAGAAATGTAGATAAAGTAAAAAGCAATTTTGCAGTCTTTTTTATCACAAAGAAAGTTTGATTTAGAGGGAACTGATTTGTAGCAAAATTGCTGAAAGGACAGAGAAGGCAAAATTAGACAAAACGTAGTTTTAACCTTTTGTTCTTTTCAAAAATTCAATTCTCTCTAAATCTTATTTCTTAAATTTGATCTTGCATTTCACTGGGGGCTATAATAGTTTTGAGTAAAAATGATTTTTATCAAATTTTTTAACAATTTTTTGTTCCAAATAAGGTAAAAAATGTGAGAAGGATAAGGAAAGAGTCAAAGTTCGTGATTAAAGGTTGTGGAAGGTAGAAATTGGCGAGTGATTGAGAAATATCGTGTCTTGTGAGTGAAAATCTATACCAATGCGTGAACCAAGGACGTTTGTGTTATTCTGAATCTTAATCAAAGTCGTTTATGAACAAATAGCTTCTTTAACAAATCTCACACAATGCCACATTTCGGTCTAAATTACTTTCGCTGATTTTTTTTTATTAATTTTACAAATTGAGGTTAAAAGGTGAATGTGGGTGAACTTAAAGCACTTGTCAAACTCACTAATTGATGTTGTAAGTGTAGTGGTTTCAGGACTTGAGTTAGGATAACATGAAACTTAAAGGTCATGTCTGAAAAATCATTAATTTTAAATTTTGACGTAAATCTCATATAAGTATAAACTATGAAGTTGTCTTTAGTGTTAAAAAAAATTATAGGTAAATCACGGGAAAAACTCTATAAATATTCTCGTTCATTTACGTTTCTTTTTTTCTTTCGGAATTATTAATTTAAAATCAAAAAATTTAGTAAATTGTTCTATAAAAAGTTTATAATATTTTTTTCTTTTAAACTTGGCGAATTTTCGGGGTTCTATTGTATTAATTAACATTTATTTAATTTTTTTTTAAATCCAAAAAAAAAAATTCAAAATGTATCAACTCAAGAACAATATTTTTGTAACATCAAAACAGAAGGTTACCTTTGACACCCCCAAACTATGAAGTTGTCTTCAGTGTCAGAAAAAATTATATGTAAAATACGGAAAAAAATTTATAAATATTCTGGTTCATTTATGTTTTTTTTATAATTTGCTCTTTCAGAATTATTAATTTAAGCAAAATCAAAAAAATTCCATTCTCACTGACCCTTTCCAGTTTTTTGCCTTGTGACGCAGTATATTTCTGCTATTATTTTTTCTATTGTAGTACAAAATTAGTAAAAAATAATAAAAATAGAAAATGTTTTTTTTGTTTCAATTCTTTATTCCAAAAAACTCAGTTAGGTTTGTTGAAATAATTATTCAGAGTGGCTCAGTGAGTTGACAAAGTCCATTATTGACCTTTAATTGTTAAAATTTTTAAAAATTTATATAGAAAATTGATAAATACTAAAATAGGGCATCGCATGAAATTATTTTCAATTATACAGCTTGTTCCAAAATTTTTTTTTAAATGAAACACTTTGATTAATAGAAGCTTTTATTTTAAATTAAATTTTGATTTTACAACAGTAGAACTCTGCTATGTTAAATGGCTTGTAAGACAAGATTTTTTTTTCTATAAAATGTTTTCTTTTTTTCTATTTCAAGTTGTTGAATTTTTGGAAAACTTATTGAATGGAATAAAAAACTTGTTCGTAAGTTTCTAATTGTTTCGAGAGCATTAACCCTAATTTTTATATAAATTATTAACGAGTTATATTCGGAGTTTATGTGAGATTTTGTAGTCTTCTTGTGTTTAAATGACTTAGTTATTATCATAATACGCGGATGGAAGATTAAATAAATTACTTTCGCTGAATTTTTTCTTATTTTTTTATGAATTTTACAAATTGAGGTTAAAAGGTGAATATGGGTGAACCTAAAGCACTTGTCAAACTCACTAATTGCTGTTGTAAGTGTAGTGGTTTCAGGACTTGAGTTAGGATAACATGAAACTTGAAGGTCATGTCTGAAAAATCATTAATCTTAAATTTTGACGTAAATCTCATTTATTTATTTTTTTAATAAATAAAATTTTTATAATCCAAAAGTTCACAGAAAATGACGTCTTCAGAATGGTTTAAATCAATAATTTCGATGAATTAAAAAAGTAGGTGATATTTTTCCAAACAAAGAAAACACATTAATAATTCAAACAATATTAATGGAGTCACTTTTAATCCTTCCGAAAACAGTAATATTTGTTATAATTCATGTAGATTTTTTCAATTTTTACTTCTGTAAATGCAGAAAAAACGTCATAATTTGTGTTATTTACAGAAAAAAAACAAATTTTTGCACAACTCTTTTCTTCAGAAAAAGCAGTCGGCGAATGTTCCAGATTCTTGGCTTGAAATTCAAGCACAACTTTGAACGCTTTTAAGGAAATAGTGCATCGATATTCATCACATTTTTTTAATCTAAAATATTTTCGTTCAGTTTTTCCACTCGATTTGGCAAAGAGGTACTGAAATTTTTCAGGTGAGCTTTTGCAATAATGGCAAAAACACCTTCCGAGCTTGTTTTACTGTCTTGTTCACTTCACTTGTCTAATCTTGAACCGAAATGTAAATCATGTTTGGCAAGGCTTCCTCGTATAATTCGAGTTTGAATTTTTCTTCTATGCAAACTCGTTTAAAAGTTTTCGGTTGCTTTTGTGAGAAGAGAAACACACAAACTAACGTTTTATTTCAATTATTTCAAATTGTTTTTATTAAATTTCAAGCAAGTCGTTGGGTTGGTACTTATTCTGAGGCGAGACGTTTCACTCAAATATTTTATTTTAAATTTTTCAATATTGACATCATGACAAGTTTCGACTGCATATGTACCAAATCCTTATTTTTGCATTTATGTTTTCTTTTGATTTAAATTTTTTTTTAAATATTGCACAAAATTACATTTTTCTAGAAGAAAGAGTAAAAATAATGGTTTTCCAGTGTTGTGAAAGAATGTTAAAATTATTTATTAAAATGTTTTTGGTTTTAACTATTAAGCTGGCGTGCTTGAAATTTTCATTATTCATAACTTTAACTACAAAATGGAATAAAAAAATTTCAGAGCAGAGTTTTAGAAGCTATTTGTGAAAAGTTTATCGGAATTAATAGCTTTAATCTATTACGCCCGGAAGTTTGAAGGAAAGGAAATTATGAGGTCTCAAAAAACGAACCTGTTGTAAATCGGGGTTAAAAGGTTAAAAGGTTGGTAACCTTGACTTTTAAAACTTGAGTGTGCTTTTAATGTGTTTCATTTTTTACGAAAGATTATTTGCCCGGCGCCGCCACCATTTTTGGATGGATTAACAAAAAAGCTTTGTGTTTTTACAGTAATAATTCGGTTATTTTGTTAATATTCTTTAATAAAAGCTAACTTAAAATGCGTAAAAATACCTTTAAAAACAACAAAGCATTTCTAATTATCTGAAACATGTAAACAAGAAGAAATTCTTAACTTTTTTGCATTGTAATTCAATAATTTTTTGTCATACTAATTTAATTTTTTTTTAATTGTGTAATTTATTTTGTTTCAGATGCTGTCAAGAATGTGCTCGAACAGAGGGAGAGCCTTGCGGTGGAGACCTAGGGTTTAGTGGGACCTGCGAACCTGGGTTATCATGCCAACAACCAGGACCATCGCCAAGTGAAGGCATTTGTAGACCCATCATTTTTGATAATCACGAAGACACGTGAAAAATGCTTTTCTCGTTGTTTTCTTGTAAGCATTTTATCTTCTCACAATTATTGAGACTTTACACGATTTTTCTCACATTTCCGTCGCCTAAAATTATTTTTAACTATACAGCGTGTTTCAAAAATAAGTTACAATACAAACTTGTGTTTTTTATCGTTTTCGGATGTAGATTTTTATGACAATGTTTTTATCTAAACTTTTATTGGTCGATTTTGCTTAGTTTTTTTGTTGAAAACATGTACTTTTTAATAATTTATTACACAAAAACTGAGACGTCTAGAAATATTTTTTTACTACCGCAAAAAAGAAGGTACTTAAATGCTATAAGGTTGTAACATTCTTTTAGTGTGTTGCATTTGCAGAGATAAAAAAATGAAGGAGTTAAGTTCAATAACTTAAAAAATGTAAATGGAACACCCTAGTTATTGATTTTGCATTAAAAAGATTATTAAATTGTCTTTCTAAAATTATTTACTTTTAGGTGTTTATAATCAATAACTAAAAAGATATTCAACGTTAAACATAAAAGAAAATAATTACTATTGTTTCAGTAGCCAAAAAAATGCACAGTTTGTGTTAAACTGAATCCTAAAATTATTTTTGCTTTTTTGGAGAGTTTGTGATAACTATTGCTTTATAAAAATATTTCCAGTTTAACAAAACATTTATAAATGAAATTTCAACGATACAATATAAAAAGTCCACTTTATGCTGTCCCGAAAATTAACATTCTCATTTAAAAGATTTTTTTTTGTTGGTGTAATTTTGAAGCTAGTTCAACGACTTTTCGAAAACGGT